TCGGCTTTTCTCTGAGGGAAGGCGGGGAAAATGGCGGCCTGGGGAGCGTGACACCCCCTCCCCACTGCCGGCTGTCGCTGCCGCCTGTGGCGGGCGGGTCACGGCCCTTCCCCGGGCCCTTGTGGGCGGAGGTGGCCGGTCCTGTGGAGTTATGAGGTACTTCGGCGCGTGAGCAAAAATAACGCGTGTGTTTCTATATATATAATGTGTGTATACATAGATACGTGTCTATATATAGATGTATGTGTGTCTATGTATATGTGTCTATATATACGTACACAGATGTACGTATAGAGCTCGGTATCCGCGGGGCGTGCACGCTGTGGCGGCTGCAGACGCACCTGTGCCGCGGCAGGCCGTGCCGTTTGGCACCCACAACCATCTCGGCTCCCTGGGCCTTAACGTCTTAACACCCCCAGGGAGGGAAACTGGGGCGTGTTAGCTAAAACACTTCTGGTTTGCTGGCGTTTTGTGTGTTTTTCCAGCTCTTCGGTTATTGAAGAAGCCAGGGGATTGTTTTTTCTGCATGTTGGCTCTGTCAGTGCAGCCTTCTCCAGTGAAGTAGTTATCCGTAGAAAACTACGCGGCTGTTGAGCACAGGGGAGCTACTACTATTGAAAAATAATACTTGTTATTGAAAAGGAGAGGGTATAATTGTAATTGATTTGAATGCAGAACGTTTTGCTGAGTTAACATTTCAGTCTGTTCATCCCCTTACTTGCTGTGTTTTGACCACTGACAGTGGCCAGCATCAGTGGTTGGCCAGTGTCTTTGGTTCTCAGAAGAAATAAAAATTAATTTTGAAGGTGTACAGCTTGTTCACAATTTTTTTCCCCCCAAAATGGCTTTAGTTATATCGCAAGATACCTCTTTAATTTTTTCTGTTTCTATGTTTGAAAATAGTTTGTGTACACATAATAGCACTGCTAATGGTTTTTCTTTTATGTTTAATCCAGCGTGATTCCCTGCTTTTATGCAGTTGTGTTTTCACAGTTTTTAATTGGAAACTGTTGAATAGCTGCAGATGTAGCAGGCAGAGTTTTAGACGTGATCTGAATACAGATTATAATCTCTCTAGTATTTTACATGTTACTGTTTGCAGAGGCACTAACCTAGCTTTAAACAAGAAAAGGCCATCTCTTACTTATTATTTTTAATTTATTCAGGTTTACAGTAGGTGTAGAGTAATATTTTTTCTAATTGCACTTCTTGTTAATAACACTCATACTATTGTTTTGTTTCTTACAGGATTGGTGAGGGAAGAGCTTGCTTTCAATGAAATATTTATCAAGTGTTGAGGAACAAATCAGGAAACCCAGCCAAAAGCTAATGTCATCAGAACCGCCAAGAGAAAGTCCAGAGGTGCCAACAGAAAACACCATGTCTCCTGAAGTTCCTGATGTGGAAGGAAAGGTGAAGTCAAGTGACAGTCCAGTAGAGAGACAGGAGGCAGGCTCAGACAAGGAAGAATGCCTTGAGCCCATGTCCAAGAGGCAAAGGAAGAAGCTGTTGAAGCAGAAACAGTGGGAAGAACAGAAAGATCTACGGAGGTATGGTTTGCAAAATAGCTTTTGTAGGATCATGTGTAGTATTGAGTGCTAATAATAATGATGTGTCAGCAGAATTTGCGTGTGGATTGCTTTAGCAAATCAAGGCAGTTGAACTAGTTTTCTCCCATGCCAGGTTTAAAGCAGTAGTCACAGGCTACTCCATCTGCATATGAAGAAGCTATAAAGGTAAGCATTCTCTCTTCATACTAGAAGTGTTCCTCAACTTGAAGAGGATATCAGGAGGGATTCAAACTTGCAAGTTTTTGGTTTGTTGGAGGGGAGAAGTAACATGTGGCTTTGTCCCTTTCTGAATGGGCTGCGCCCTCTTTCCCCAGTGCTGTCAGACTTGGTGAATCTTACAAAGTCAGTGAATAAAAAAAATTTCTTTTGACACATGAAATGCTCTGCTGTAAGTTATGTTGACTTATAACCTGTTAAAATAGTTTTGGAAGATGATGAGCTTCTGTTTTATTCTGTTGAGAGAAACCTTATCTGCAAATGGGCTGATGGTGGTTTATCCTTGTCCTGCTGAATGCAAAGTGTTCCTCCCCTAGAGAGTGGCTGTTAAAGTTGCTGTCTCCGAAATCTGATCTCCTAACTGCCTGCTCCCATCAGGGGAACAGAGGGAAGAAACAATTGTTTCAGAAGTCTTTTGAAAAACTTGAAACAGGAGGTAAATTGCCTTCCACGTTCTGATTCCGATAGTGCAATTTTGGCAATCTTTTTGGTTGTTTCTGTTATGAGACCTGACTCGGAGCACCCGTAAATCCATGAAACTCCCACTATTCACTTCGTTGAATTTGTGTCAGATGTCTGTCTTTGTAGGTATATACAGAACTTCACAAAGACGGGGGGTGTGTTTCATGCTGGTATCAGCCTAGCACAAATGGAAGCAACAGGATAAGTTTAAACTACCACAGTCATGGGACAACCACCTTGATCGTAGAAGTATGCATTTGTGTGCATAACACGTGCCTCAGCAGATTTGGCAGCACTTTTTGAAGATGTATTTGTTTGTTTGTCTATTTAGGCAGAAACGAAAAGAAAAACGCCAGAAGAGAAAACTAGAACGTCAGTCAAAATCGGACTCCAGTAGTGAAGTGAATGACAGAAAGCGTATGCGAAGGGAAGTTGTTCCTAGTACACTTCGCCTCATTGTGGACTGCAGCTTTGATGACCTGATGGTGCTAAAGGTAAAAGAAACTTACTCTTCACATACAAATGTTGAAAGGTTCTCCAGTGACAGTGCTGATGCAATGTCAGAGCACAAAAACTGGAGAGCAGCTTGTGGAGGACAGTTAGCATGTTTCAGATTGTGGTGACTCCCAGACCTGCTTAGGTCAGTTGCTGAATTTTTTAGGGTTTGGAATGTATGTTTATATAAGCTTGCCAAAGATTTTTGTTTGCCTTCATGGAGATGCGGTAAGTTGGTTTGATTCCAAAAACAGGAATATAGAAACAGTTTGTGCCATATGTTCACCATGAAGCTACACACAGTTCTGCCTCAAAATGGTTTTGCTAGAGGGGCTGCAAATGCCCCATCAAGTTACTTTCTCTTTCAAAGTGGACCTAAGGCTCCCAGCCATGTTAGTAAGTATGTGTGGAAATAAGAATTTTGAGTATTAGGAGGATACTGAGCTTTTCCTCTCAGTCACACGAGAGGTAGTTGGGATAGGAGGACGCTATTCAGCCTGTCTCTAAAATTTTAGCATGGATGAAAGAACGAGTCAGATGGTCACAGTGTAGGTAAATGTTGTGGTTTAACCACAGCCGGCAGCTAAGCACCACACAGCCGCTTACTCAGTCCCCCCCAGTGGGATGGGGGAGAGAATCGGAAGAGTAGAAGTGAGAAAACTCATGGGTTGAGATAAAGACAGATTAGTAAGTAAAGCGAAAGCCACGCACACAAGCAAGGAAAAACAAGGAATTCATTCACCTCTTCCCATCGGCAGGCAGGTGTTCAGCCATCTCCAGGAAAGCAGGGCTCCATCACGCGGAACGGTTACTTGGGAAGACAAACGCCATCGCTCTGAACGTCCCCCCCTTCCTCCTTCTTCCCCCAGCTTTATCTGCTGAGGACAATGTCATATGGTCTGGGATATCCCTTGGGTCAGCTGGGGTCAGGTGGGTCCCAGCTGTGTCCCCTCCCAACTTCTTGTGCCCCCCCAGCCTCCTCGCTGGTGGGGTGGGTTGAGAGGCAGAAAAGGCCTTGGCTCTGTGTAAGCCCTGCTCAGCAGTAACGAAAACATCCCTGTGTTATCAACACTGTTTCCAGCACAAATCCAAAGCATAGCCCCATACTAGCTACTATGAAGAACATTAACTCTATCCCAGCCAAAACCAGCACTGTAAATATGAGAAAGATCAATATGATACCCAACCACTGGTCAAGGTGCTTGGTGTGGTGTTTGAGATCAAAACAGCTTTAACTCTACTAGGAAAGTATGTTAATCTGCAGCCTCCTGTAAGAGTGCAGCCTTTGGTTTCTGAGGCAGACCTCTCCCCTCCCTGTTACTCTGAGCCTTTCTGCTGTTGCCAGGGACTTCACTGCTCTGCAAGACTGCTTGAATTCAAGCTTTCTCAAAGCCCATCTGGCTACTTGCTGAGTGTAATGCAGAGCACATATAGCACTAATGGATACTACTGCCACTCACCACAAAATTTTGGGGAAGCTCCAGTTGGTGTTTTGGCACTTGGTTCTCTGAGGAGTCCTTCAGCAGTGCCCCAGAAGAGACAAGAGGACTCCCTTGATAGTTTTGGAGATGCTGGCTGGGTGTTTCCGGCTGAGCTTCATCCTTCATAAAACACATTTCCTTCCTTAGTCAGGCAGAGCCCCTGTTAGGCCTGGTATAAAAACTGGCACTTCTGCAGGTGTTTAGGAAGGGTGAAGTGTTGTAAGTGAAGATGGTTGTGGCCTTTAGCAATGGGGTTAATTAGATGCTTTCTCTACTGCCTGTAAAAACTTGCATTGCAGTATTGTAGTGATAAAGTCTAGTTTACTTGAAATCCTTTGGAGATACCAAAACGTTTTCAAAGCACTACATGAATCAAAGCAATATAATGATGTTTCATTTTAAAATGGGAATCAGTTATATTTACAAAACCATGCTTTTGGGGCACTGAGAATAAAACTACGTAATGTACCTTACGAAGAACATAATTGGCTAAAAATTAAGTCTGCTGCATTTTAAGTAGTACTAGTTAACTGTTGTCCAAATTGTCAGGTCAAAATGCTGGAGCCAGCCACTAAATTATTTGCATTGGTCTGTGGTTCTTCAAGTTAATTATGCATGTTTAATTTTCTTAAATATAAACTGTATATTCTCAGGATTTTCCCATGGGTGAAAGACTGAGTATTGTCACAGTGATAAATCTGCTTGGTTCCTCAGATTAATTTTAACCATGTTATTACATATAATTAAATCCCAGTGATTTTTGTTTGTTTTGTTTATTTCCTAGAATAATGCAAATCAAGCACATGCATAGAGGTGTCTAAATAGACTTTTGAGGAAGATGTGTGTGTCTCCTTGTCAGCATAATCCCTTCACAACGGCTGTTTTTTCTCTCAGGGTTTGATGTCCACACTCTCTCAGTAGTCACTTTTGCCAGTTAAAAGCTTCCTTTTTCTCTCTTTAGCTTCTGACTGGCTCATGATAAAGCATTTTGTGGTGGTCTGTCTGAAGGACTATGTAAAAACAAATTGTGTTGTATACAGGATGTTAAGAAGCTTCACAAGCAAATTCAGAGATGTTATGCAGAAAACCGCAAAGCATTTCATCCTGTGCAGGTATGTTTAACAACCTGAGAACTGTAGCAGAAAAAAAAATACTTAAACTGCCTATTTTTAATAAGAAAATTACTTCTATTCTAATAGATTAGTTTTCAACCCACATGTTATAAAAATCCCCGTATATATGAAGAAGTATGTGCAAACAGATGAAGAGTGCCAGATACTGGCATGCCGCTGAGATACTGTTGATACTCAGTTTTATCTGTGACAGATTTAAAAAACAAAAAAAAAAAAAGAGACTGTAAGTGCGTATTTGTCTTTTAAATGTGTCACTAACTGTATGAATAAGGTCTTAGTACCACTTTCGGCTAAAAAGTGATTAAGAGTTTTAGCTAATAGTTAAGGGTAGAAAAAGTCTTGTACAGAGAGGAAACAGATTGGCCTATTAACATTTCAGTATTTTGTACCTCTTGTTTGTTCTTTTTGAAGTTTTACTTGACCAGCCATGGGGGACAGTTGAAGAGCAACATGAATGAAAATGACAAAGGATGGGTGAACTGGAAGGTGAATAATAGGCTATTTCTGTAAAAAGAGAAAAAGGAGTCTTGATTATAGCTGCTAACTAGGTTGTTAGTTGTGAAGGACCTGTGCTTTTTCCACGTGCTTCATCAGAGTAATAGCATATTAGAAATAGTGTGGCTCTTTGTGCTTTTAAATAAGCCAAAGACTGCTTGTCTTGAATTAGTTTGGTTTTTTGCTTGAAAAACTCCACACACATCCATTTTCACATGTTTATATTGAACAGATTCCATTTTCTGATAGACTAAGCAAGACTACTTGGTTTAGGCAGTTCTGAGAGTCATCTGTCTTGACAGTGCTCTTTTTTTCTTGGCGAAAAATAAGACTTTGAAGTCAGGATGCGATTCTCTTTGTGTGCACCTTCACTTCCATTATGTTGCCTCTCAACACTGAAGTGTTCTTTAGAGAAGTAGCTTGTCTTGTGGTCAAACTCATGTTGGTTTTCCTTGCAACTCCCTATTAAACCAGTATTCCAACAACTTGAAATGAAGAGCACTTTGCAAAATAAAAACAGTTCTACTTTCAGTATGTCTTGTGTGATAGCTGCTTTGCAAAAGCATAGCATAAACCTCTCATATCAAGCAAGTAATGTTAACTAAGCATTTACTTCTGGTTTCACTTTTTTTAGAAAGGTAAACTTGAAAACTATTTGGATCCATAGGAGAAATATGGTAGCATTTGAAGGGAATCACAAGAACTTAAGGATTTGTAAAGTCTTTTGGGGGTTTCAGAAAATTTCCTGATGATTTTTACAAGTTGGTCCTGTAGGGACTGTGGATGATTTAAGCAGAAATCAGTCTGCGCTGTGCTACGTACTTAAACATGGATAAGGGATATGGAATGACTGCATGCTATTGTATTTATTTTTGCTGGTTCCATCTTGGGTCTGTAAAGTTTGCCCAGCAATTCATCAGTTGACTGTAACTTCTTTCAAATACCTTTTTTTGAGGATATCCAAATTAGAACTGAGCACTATAGTGAGTTAATAAAGAAGGAAGACCTAGTATATCTTACGTCAGATTCCCCGGACATTCTCAGTGAGCTTGATGAGAAGAAAGCCTATGTGATTGGAGGACTGGTGGATCACAATCACCACAAGGTAAACTGTGGGTCTGTTTCTTTACAGCTCCTTTTTTTTTTTTTTTGGCACCTTATTTGACATTAATGCTGTTCATATTGTTCAGATGTAAACTAACAAAAATAAATAACAAAAAAACTTCTTCAAAAAAGACTTCAAAAAAATTTTGAAGAAATGGGAAAAAAAACTTGTGGTGGTAACAGTGGCTTGTGTTCCAGAGTGCAGACATGCTGAGCTTTTTAGGATTTTATCTTTTCATTTTAAATATAGGAATGGAATTAATAACACTGCTCAGCTTACTGAGGGCCATATTTTCAGACAGAAGGGTTTGGTTTCTGTTCATGCACTTGTGTGTGTGTGCGCACACTTGTATGTGCACGTGCCCAAATATAGACGAAGAACAGTGCTTGAATCTTGGATGTCCTTTTTTAATAAATTTGCACGTCAGGAGAACTTGGCTAAGTAACACACATGCGTCAGGGATCTGGTTTCATACCTGTACATGGGAGCGTGCTCTGTGGACCTGGAATGTCATAGAGAATGCAGCTGGGAAATTAAAGCACTGTTACTGCTTTTCTTCAGAGACACTCCTGTGTAATTTCTGGTGACATGTTTAATATTTCAATGTGATGCTAAAAAAAGGGATGGATCTTAAGCCTTACCAAATGATACTTCAGCAGTTAGTCCACAGTTAAAGGCTAGGAGGGAGCTAAAGCAGATCCTTTATATAGCCATTATGGTATAAAGTATTTACACAATTTTAAAGGGGTTTTTTTTTTCCCCCATTTTGGGCACAGGAGTTGCCAGGTTTAAAAAAGCAAACAAAATTTCTTTATCCTTTACTCTTCCTCTGAAAAAATAACCAGTTACTGCAATCTGAGTAACTTTGTATTTAAGTATAAACTTGCCTTTAAAACAGGCTATGGCTGACACTTTCTAGAGCTGCAGGTGTATGAATAAATCTTAATTACAATCTTTTTGACCAAACATCACAGTGTGACATATATTCAAAGTAGTAAGTTTCCAAAGGTAGCACTTGAAGCAGCTACTGTCTAACCCAGGTAAGTTTCTTTTTGTAAATATCTTCTAAAGCAAGATCATGGCAGCGCTGGCAAAACTCTTGCCAGAAAATGATACTTGTAGTAATCTGTATGGGCTGATCTGAAATGGTGATTCTCAGTCCAGTTGTCTTGGTGTCTTTCCCACAGGGAATTACTTACAAAAAAGCTGTAGAGCAGGGAATTGGTCATGCACAGCTTCCACTTGGAAACTTTGTCAAGATGAACAGTCGGAAAGTGTTAGCTGTCAATCATGGTAAGTTTTAAATCACAAAATAATGGCGTTATTATAGAATATACCCACGATATTCAGAATTTGAACCCTCAAAATGTGCACTGTAGTGCAGATACCTAAATCTTATTTTATTATGTTATTATTTCTTGAATCTAGTTGCCTTTGGGATACAGTAATTGCCCTGACCTTTAAATATTTTAGATATGGTTAAATGTAAAGGATGGTGTCTTAGCCACTTAGAAGTGCACCTCCTACTCTGTTGACTTGTCCCATGAGTAATTTTGGCATTCTTACCATCCTGGTCTTGTTTCCAGACTTATGTATAGGTGAGTAAAAAGTTGGAAACTATCCTGTGTATTTTATCCCAGGGGAGGATAAATGTTTGTGATGTTTTCATCTCTTTGGACAGCTGTGTTCAGCAGTAACTGCTTAGGTACCTGTAGGCTCACCTCATTTGGTATCAGCAGTACTCTATCTGCTGAGCTTTCATAACTGTATTTTTGCCTGGCTTCCTGATTCTGATTGAAGTATACAATTGCTTAACCAAGTCTTGAATCCCACTCCTTTTGAACTTTCAGTTTTATTATTAGATTATATTTCAGTGTCATTAAGCAAACATACATGCAAAATGGAGCCTACTCAGACCTTTATGGAATTTTTTGACATGGTGTCCAAGTCTTTATTTTGCCCCACTTCAGGTTCTTTTATTTATCTCACCTTGCTTTATTTGAAGTTTATTTTATTATGTAACACATTGCTCGATGATAACTTTATTTTCTTAAAATGCCATTGATTCAGGAGATATGTATTTGCATGACAGTAATGATTATTTAAATGTGGAGGAGAATATAGTATATCACTGGATTAAAAATTGTCAAACCCCATGTATTTGTAGATCTTACATGTTTCTAAAACTTGATCTTTAAGTGTTGCTTTATATAGACAAGAAGAGGACTTCATGTGTTATTCATCAAAAGTTACAGCTGTAGCTTTGTACTGGAGTTTACTGCAGTAATCTTATACTGACCTCTAGCGTCAACATTTCTGGAGGCTGTCTTCTACATGTCTGAGCACTGGGTATAAAACTGGGTCACTTACACTGGGGCTTTCATTTATCTGCTTAATGGTCTTGTTTCTTGTGCCAGACTTTTAGGCACCTGATTTCACTGCAGTTTAGTTGGCCAGATTTCATTTTGCATGAGCTTGTCTTCCCTTGCCCTTTGAAAACATTTTCAAATTGCAGCTGAAAGGCTCTTAACCCACATTCCTTTTTTAAGGTAAAGATTATACTATAGCAGTATTTTGCTTAAGGTTTTGGGGCAGGAAAATAAACACAACTCTGCCACCACCAAAAGTAGAGGTACCTTTAGCAGTTGTAATTAAGGCTCTGGTATATATTGTAACCCTAATAGCTTACAACCTAAATCCAGAAAGACAGCTTTCAAGGGAGTAAGGCATGAGTAAGGTGGACAGAATCAAGCTGCCTCTCAAATCTCGTGTTATAAATTTTGTGTAAGCGAGAAGGATATTTGCACTGAGGTGTTTGTATTTTGCTGTGAGTACATCCACCTCGCTGCTTTGTGTAACTGTGTAATTGCTCACCCTTCCTCTTTTGATTTGGTTGTTCTGGCCTCTTGAGTTCCCACCCTTGGTGCCAAAGTTGCAGCTAGCAGAGGACAGTACAGGGCTCACCAGATGAGACCGGGACCTGCCTGGTCTCTGCCTGGTGGAACTACTTTTGATACGTGTGAATTTGGAAGGTCCTGTAGAAGAAGAAACTCTTTCTGAACTGCCTTCTCAGTGTTTGAAGCACTTTAATTAAATGGGCCCTCTTGTGGCTGGAGGTTGACAGCGTCGTTAACAGGGATTCGCTTCCTTTTTACTTATTTATTTATAATCCTTCTCTCTTGGGATCGCGTCTCCATATATTTCCACAGTGCCTGCATTGCCATGTTAAAATGGCATGAGGAACACATGTATGTGTGAAATATTTGATGCTAGAAAACTGACACAGCGTAAGATGAGACATTTTTTTAAGTCCATCTGGAATTACAAAACTTGAAAGATTTGAGATCTATGTAAAAGACTGTATTGCAAAACACAACTGCAAGTGTGGCTGAGAGAGTTTGTTTTCTTCTGTTCAGGTTTGTATCCCAAGGCTAATACTTTGTAATATATGTTACAGGACCATACTGCTTCATTCCAGTCTGCAATGATGTCTACCAACTGTTCCCACTGCCTTTTTCTGTCCTTGTGTAATATTTTTGTTGCTATTGCAGCCCATCATAGAAGCCTCTGTTCTCCTGTGGAAGCCACTCTCTTTCCATCAGTTCTGTTTTTACTATGCAGATAAAGGAATTTCCAAAGCTAGGGAGAAGAAATGTGCTCTTGATACTTTTATTGTTTCTTAAGCCAGCATTTTTGCCTCAGATGTTTTCTGCAGTAACTTACAGTGGTATTAATATAGTCTTTCGAGTGCTCATACCTTCACAGTACATTTCAGGTGAATAACCTGCTTAGTAAAATGGTCAACTCTTCAATATCAGTGTCACAGAGAGCAGCTGGCTGTCCAGTAAACCTGGATCCAGGAAACCTCTAGTAAATGTGACACTTTTCTGTAACTTGACTCTCAGTGAGTATGAGATCCATGCTGCTCCTCCCTTTCTGAACGCCTGCCTAACTCTCTGTAAGGTGTTTTTTTTCCCTCCACAGCTCCTTTGATCCTTTCTCATATGCTGTTGCTTGGCATTGAGAATACTTGTGCTGGGAGTATTCTTTGAAGTTAGCATTCTCCAGTGGTGTTAGCACTATTCCTGTAGCCCCAAGCTTGAAGAGCCACCGTTCTGTCCCAGATTTCTCATCCAAGTCTGGCTTACTCACCAGCCATAGGGCCTCCTCCTACCTTCCCTGATGCTGCTGAGCCACAATCTGTGTTGAAAAGTTTTTTGGATAGCCTGGGATTTTTCTAAGTAGGAATTTGCAGATGAATTTTGTATATAATGCAGTTTGGAGCTATTGTCAATCAGGGAAAGTTTTCGGAGCTGAAACGGGAGTAGGAGGGTGAGTGTATGGTTAGCGTAATAGAAGCAGCAAGAAAGGGTCACAGAATTGGAGGCTAATAAGGATTTTTGCCATAAGCTCAGATGGAAATGAAAGAGAAAGCTAATTATAGCAGGTTTTAGGAAGACTTTGGGCTGTCCATGTGTTAGGGAGGGGACAAAGTCATTGTTAAAGTGCATCCACAGCAGTACTGTCAAACATGAGAAGGCATTAGTGCCTGTATAGATGGCACTGGTGAGACTTGAAGTACTGTGGGGACATTTCTTTCTATCCCTGAGAGAAATTAATACAAACTGGAGCCACTGCAGAAAAGCACTGCTGTAGTAAATGTCTTACAACTGGAGACTCAAAGCGTGCTTGGCTTTAGACTGCAGCAGTAGCAGAATTGCCTTGTCTGCTTCTGCCTGTACTTCATCAACTTTACTCTGAAGATGCCACAACCGAATGCCTGTAAACCTCTGTAAAGATGGATTTGGGGGTGTGTTCCTATCAGCAGTTCATTTATCTCCCTGTAGAAGAGCTGATGGTCTTTCTTGATGTTGCAGTGTTTGAGATCATCCTTGCATACCTGGAGAAGAGAGACTGGAAGGAGGCCTTTTTCAGTGTCTTGCCACAGCGGAAAGGGGCTGTTCCTTTGGGAGAAGCCAATGATTCGTCCAAACATGCTCTGTCTGGAAAAGAAGATAAAGACAATGACTCAGAGAGCAACTAGGCTTCAGAATGAGACGATGGGAAAGATGAGACATGCAGTTCATGGGATAAAACTGGGACGTGAAGTAGTTACACTCCAAAGACCGTCTGCTGCCCTTGTGATACTGAATTGTCTCAATGCTTGGTAGTTCCATAGTTGGCCCAGAGTTGTTTCTGGACATGAAGGGTAAAGATAAATGCAGTTTTTTTACCCTGAAACTTCCCTATTAATAGCTTTTAAAAAAAATAAATTAATGGCAAATGCAGAATTTTATTTTGTTTCCCAAGGAAGCTATTTAATTTTTTTTTTTTTATATTTTTTTTTACATACCAAGTAGGGTGTATTACCCAAGAGCATTAGTAGTTACTATTTTAAAGTACGCATTATTCTCCATTTCTGCTCTAAGTTTTCTTAAAAGCAGTGAATGACAAGCGTTGCTGTGGCCTCAAAACCTGTACCACTAGTGCCTGTTGCAAAGTGTGTGTGAACACTCAAACAAACAAAAATTCTAATTTTCCTGAGCATCTCAACAGACAATCACAAGCAACTGAACTGCCTTTATCAGCTGAGCCACACTGATTTATATACTGTGTTTAGTTAGCTGAGGTCAGTAGGTGAAATACGAGTGTGGAGTTAAGCCAATGCTTTATACTTCAGCTTCAGTGGGATGGATGTCTGCACAAGTGCAAATCATGTGCCTTGGTTGGCATGTGGTGCATGTTGAGCTGAGATGACACAATCACTTTTGATTACTTCTTGATCCTCTTAGCAAAATTTATCACACATCCTCAGAACAATACCAGGAGACAGGAACTCTTTCATACATGTCACTTATTCAGTTTCAGTATACCTGTTTTATCACATGATCCTGTACGTATTGTTTGTCAGTATTCTTCCTTTAAAAAAAAAATGTTATAGTCTCAGTCTTGGCTGGATGTTCTGATTCAACTTATTTCTAACTGACTTAAGTGCTTTTGCAAAGTACTGAAATGGACACCTTGGAAATGTGGCTTCACTTCACCCCTGTGAGCCTGCCCCATCCCTTTCTTCTGTAGGGACTAGGCAGGCAGCTGCAGTTTCTGAATGAGTACAGCTTTCATATAGGTCAGCTGAAGGGTGTAAGAACACATCCTCGTAACTGTTCATCTCTGCTGAGCTGGAATCAGAGAGCTGATCCAAGTATGACTTGGCTTGTATCCGTTTTTATTCCTCCCTCTGTTGTTACTGCTTTCACATGGAGACTAGAAGTGGGATTCCTATAGGTCCCTATGGTCTGTAAAGGGTTGGCTGGTTATGGCTTTATACGCTTAGTGCACTTCTCTCTATACTTTTTAAATAACCATAGAAAAGTTTCTTCTGTTAAAAGTGTGGAATGTGGTTTGTTGCTCAAGTAATGTGGCTTTTTTTGTTAGGCTTTACAAAAATGTGATTGCTTTTGTTCCAGAAACTAGATCAGCTTTTTCATAAAAGCATTGCTGTTTTTACTTCTGTAACAAAAAGTGCAGCATAAGTATACCTACCATGTATTACACTGATTCTCTGATATAAATGTGTAAAGCAGTGAAATTACAAGGAGTAACATCTTTACAGCTGAGGTTCTGCATGTTAATGCACATAACACCTATTAAACCTAACCTAAGACTCTTCAGTCTCCTTAAGGTTTTCTTAAGACCGTTTCATACACGTGCCTCATTTACTCAGGCTTGAGAGTGCAAGAGCAGATTGCATAGACAAAGTGGGGTCTTTGGAGACATTCTGAAAGGGTTAAAAAGCATCTTACGGAATTGTTTTGTGGCTTAAAACACAGCCTGTCTTAACCTTTACCAGTGAAATTAGATAAACACACACACCCATGCACATGTTTTTAGATCAGTCACTTGCAAATCTGAAGCGTACCTGTCTATGGAGAAATAGAAGAAAAAGATGGTCCTCTGTGTTGCTCCTGGAAGGCTCCTAGTGCTAACTCCACAACATCACAGCAGCTTGGTGACTAGCTGTTGCCTGTTGATACGCATTGCTTGTCTCAATCACCTGGTTTTCCCATCCTCACTGGTGCCTTAGCCAGTAGTTGGCATTGCTGCTGTTTACCTTTTCTCTGTGCTAACCTAAGCGGGTCATACTCGGATGAAGTTCATGCCTGTTGTCATGAGCTGTCTCTACAGGGTGCTGTCCTCAGGATGTGTTAATTGGTGAGATGGAGCAGTAAGCAAGAGCAGAGGGGGGTTTCAGTAGGCACAGCCCTCTGACTACTGCTGCTGTCCTCAGACTGTCAGTATCCTACAGTTGTGCAGCCATCTAGAAAAGGCTGTTCTTGGTGGACCTGGACTTGCACTGATGAGATTGCTAACACTTTTCTAAATGCTTTGGACGCTTGGCTGTTCATTGGTGGAATCACCAGCACTAGACACAATCATACTGAAGTGGTGATCCGCTTTCAGGCAACAGGCTGCAGCTATGCAGTAGCGTTTGGGGAGAAGTGACGGTTCAGGAAGCCCCGAGGGCCACTCTTGCAATGAGTTCAATGTAAAGTTACTGATGAAAACAGTTGAATTGGTTGGAGCACATGAAAATCACGCTAGCATCAGATCAAGTGTGAGAAACTGAAACCTGTTTGTGAGAGAGTCTGAGAGAGCGGCTTGTAAAAGCAAGAGGGCTTGTGCTATTTGTGACACCTCCAGTCCCTGCCATGATACCACAGCTCCTCATGACAGACCAGGAAGGTAGTCCTCCTTTCATTCCTGTATCTTTGCAGCGTGAGAGTGGAGGCTGGTAGGATGGTCATTTGATGACATCCCTGGGAAGAGCATCCTGAGCGGTCTTGGTCTTGTGCTGTATTTCACTCTGGTCCTGAAATACATACTCTGATGTATTTGACATGCTGCGTCCTTTTGTTTTTAACCCCTGAGTGTCCCTGTCTGCCTCTGAAGAAGGGCGTGGACTTCCCGAGTAGTACCTCCTACTTCTGCAGCAATGGGCAACTGTTTGAAAACAGTCAAGTGACCGGAAATCTGTATCGTGGGATTTGTGAAAAGTCACGGGAGTCTGAGTGTGGCTTTCAAGCTCGTTTAATTTTAGTGGGGGGCCTCTAGGTATTCTGCATCTGGTATTTGACTTTTCAGTATTTCTGATCTCTTCTTATGTTGATGCAGGGAGTATCTGTTATATATTTTTTCCTGTTGTTTAATATAAAACTGGTGAGGGTGGGTTGGGGAAGACAGTTCACCCTGATTAAATTGTGCAGCCCAGGTGTGTGATGTGATTTATTTTCTTTGGAGGATGCTGTTAGTGTTTCTCCTGGCTTCCTGCCATTGTCAGAACTGAAGTGTTCCTTTACTTACCTACAGTGAATAAGTTACACAGTAGAGTTGGTAATAGTCGATGTTAATCTAATGCGTTTTATTCTTTTTCTTAACTGCTTAATGAAATTGTTTTAAATGGTAGCACAGCTGCCTGAGCTCAGTTCTTTGATTTTTTTCTGAGAGCTCTGAAGACTTGCCCGTATTTAGTTATCATGATAAAGTGCATAACTCATTTCTGTGTTCACTGCACAATGCAAAGATTTTACATATTTATTGAATAGGCCAGTTCTGCAGTGACAGCATAACCTCTCTGAAGAAGGACAGAAATAAATACTTGCAGAGGAATATTGGTTTGCAAGCTGAGCACTTCATGAAACATTTAGAAATACTTGACATGGATGCGTGACCATTCAAATTGGTGTACTATCCAAACCTTCTCAGTAACAGCAGACAGATCCTAAAGACAGCAGACTCCCAGCTGTTGGGGGTAGGGACAAGTGATAGTTCAGAAGATAGGGCATCTAATTTTATTAAAGGACATAGAAATGCAGCTGCCTTGCCAGAGTAGCCTGAAGAGTTTCTCCATCCCTGCTGCACCCTGACATGATTAAGAATCTGCTTCAGCATCTCCTGCTAAAGAATCCAGGTCACTGATAAAGCAGGCAGGTAGGATCAAGGAAGGCGTCGGAGGACACATACACAACTTAAGCTTAGGGTGAAAACGTGACTGGGCAACATTTGTATTGGAAAATGGCAAAGTTCAGGATGGATTGACAGGTTACTACGTATCTGAGACACTTCCCAACATAAAGGACTTTAATTCTGATCTTGAGATTCACACATTGAACGTAACCTTGTTCTTCCTTTACTACTAGTGTATTGAGTTTGCATGGCAAGGTTTTGGTAGCGGGGTGGGCTACAGAGGTGGCTTCTGTGAGAAGCTGCTAGAAGCTTCCCCTGTGTCTGACGGGGCCAATGCCAGCCAGCTCCAAGATGGACCCCCTGCTGACCAAGGCTGAGCCCATTAGCGACAGTGGTAGCGCCTCTGGGAGAACAGATTTAAGAGGGGGAAAGGAAAAACCAACCTGCGCGACACCAGTCGGAGCCGGGAAAGAGGAGTGAGAATATGTGAGAGAAACGACTTTGCAGACGCCCAGGTCAGTGAAGAAGGAGGGGAGGAGGTGCTCCAGGTGCCAGAGCGGAGATTCCCCTGCAGCCCGTGGTGAAGACTATGGTGAGGCAGGTTGTCGCCCTGCAGCCCAGGGAGGTCCACGGTGGAGCGTATATCTACCTGCAGCCTGTGGAGGACCCCACACTGGAGCAGGTGGATGCCCGAAGGAGGCTGTGACCCCGTGGGAAGCCCGCACTGGAGCAGGCTCCTGGCAGGACCTGTGGCCCCATGGAGCAAGAAGCCCACGCTGGAGCAGGTTTTCTGGCAGGACTTGTGACCCTGTGGGGGACCCATGCTGGAGCAGTCTGTTCCAGAAGGACTGCACCCCATGGGAAGGACTCCTATTGGAGAATTTTGTGGGGGACTGTCTCCCATGGGAGGGACCCCACGGTGGAGCAGGGGAAGGCTGTGAGGAGTCCTGCCCCTGAGGAGGAAGGAGCGGCAGAGACCACGTGTGATGAACTGACCCCAACCCCCATTCCCTGTCCCCCTGTGCTTCTGAGGGGGGAGGAGGTAGAGAATTCAGAAGTGAAGCTGTGCCTGGGAAGAAGGGAGGGGTGGGGGGAAGGTGTTTTAAGATTTGGTTTTATTTCTCATTATCGTACTCTGATTTTGATTGGTAATAAATTAAATTAATTTTCCCCAAGTTGAGTCTGTTTTGCCTGTGACAGTAATTGCTGAGTGATCTCCCTGTCCTTATCTCGACCCACAAGCCTTTTGTTATGTTTTCTCTCCCCTGTCCAGCTGGTGGGGGGGAGTGATAGAGCGGCTTTGGGGGGCACCTGGCGTCCAGCCGGGGACAACCCACCACAACTAGGATGGGTGAAGTGCCCTTGAGGAAGGTTTATTTTCAGACATCTAGCAAATACGGTAACAGATGCTTTGGGAAGGGGAATGACTGAGAAGATGCGACTGTAACTGTCCTTGCAAACTATCAGTCACCCTTCTGGCTCTAACATGGTTGCTCAGTAACCTGTCAGCTTCATGAAGGAAATGCAACCGTGCTGTTGAAAGACTATGTTAACGTGGTTGCGTTAATTTTGGTTCTGTTCGGCAGTGAGCCTCTGAGGCATAATTAAGTTTTTCAGGCTCAGCTAACGCAGCATGATGCTGGGAGACAGCTGATAAGAAACACTAAGGACAGAGATTTACATGGAATTAAGGCAATCTGAGTATGGCCCAAAAGCATTTGGTCAAGTATCTGCCCCATTCACTAAGTCATTACCACAGCTCAGTCAGCATGTGGTCACTCAACCCTGCTGTTTGGTTTCCAGTTCACTTGGTTTCCAGTTTAGTTTCAGCTGACTTTGTAATGTTTACACCTAAGACACAAGGGAAGTTTCAAAGCACTGCCAGCTCCTCTCTTGCTCGAAGCTCTGCTCCCATTTACCATGTCCTGCAGGCTCATACTCTTGCACAGCTGTATAGAAATTACATATCTGCTAAATTGATACCCATTAAATCATTTTGTAGAAATGAGTTTCTGCATCTGTGGTCTGAGTTGGCAAGTGGACCTGTGTAATGACTGTTCTGGGTGACCAGCCTTCTGCTGGCCATTCACAAATACTCCATTCATTGATTTGCGGCTACAGGTTACTTCAAGCCCCCCAGCCTGCTTCATCTGGTGCTCTAGCATGGCTAGGCATGTGCAGCAGTGAGTGAGCACCAAGGGAAAGCAGAGCTGAGATTGTCCCCCAGGTCTTAACATAGCCCTCTCCTGCAGTGGGAAATGGGAATGGAGGTGGTAGTTGTTACTACAGTAGACATGATTTGAAGTGAAGGCAGGGGCTCTTGGAAAGAGTATACTGAGCTCTGCTCTGAGCTAAGCTCCTCTTTCCTTAACGCTGTGCTAACAGGATTTTTCTCCTTGCCCGTCAAACAGCCAGATGTTTTGAATGAGCCTGTCTGCACTGAATAATCTTGCTCTGGAAAATAAATGGAAGTAGGGTCGATTTATCACCTTTCTTTGGTTTTGTGAGAATAGATTGACAGAGATATGTTTAAAACAGATAAACCCCAATTCTTCTCCTTTCACAGTTCACTCACAAGGCCTGAAAAAGGGCCAGATGTGTTTCTGTCACTGTTGGCCTCTGTTTCAATGGCTTGAGGTTTGCATGGTGATTTTAATGTTTGTTTGGTGTCATCCTATCCCATTCGTGTCCCATGTTCCCCCTCCTCCCCCCATTGGATACTACAGTTTGTGATTCTTCTCTACTAATAATGAGAACTATGGAAGCAAATTTTAGCTTGCTGTGAGGCAGACATCTGCAGTCAGTCTGCAGGCCAGATTTTGAAAATCCGGGGTCTTTTTTTCTTCCAGTGCCTAGGGCTTGATGTGCATCTCTGCAGATAATGTGTGTGTGCCCCTCTTCTTACCCCAGTATGTCTGTGACTGTAGAGTCAAGTCTGCACGCAAGAGCTCTTTGTGCAGGCCTGGCTGAGTCACACAAAACAATGAATCTGGTGCCCAAAAGTGTTGCCTCTGTCCTTTTTTTCATTTGGCGCACTTCTCATGTACCTCTGCAGCATGGTTTGGTTGAATTGCTTGAGGACTAAATATAATGAGCATAAAATTATTTTAACAGGGAGTCTGAACAGATATCTTTATGATATAACTGCTAAGAATACGTATTTCTGTATGTGGTGGTGACTGGGAGATGCTTCAGTGGCTCTGAATAGGGGGGGCTCCACTGGAAAGGGGGATGTCTGTTGTTTGGAGTGGCTGTGGCACAGGTCAGACTTCTGATAAGAGTGTGAAGGGAGGATGGTCTCTTGTTTCCATAGCACCTTCTCAGTTGGAGTTCTTCCCTGGGAGCAGTGTGTCTGCTTGTGCTGGACCTCCGTTCCTCAGCCTTGAAAGCAAATGACATTCTTTCTCCCTTTCTGGAAAACATTTTGAAAAAGGAAGCTGTATATTATCAGGATAGGCTTAGGATTATGTTAGACTGGTTTGGCTTTGTTCCATACGCAGATGAGAAGCACATCCACTCATTAGCAAAGAAGCCTCCTTGGACACCACTTCGAAAAGCAGAGGGTTGCTTTGGAGGTTTCTTCTTTTTCCTTCTCGTTCTTATGTAAGATTACTCTTCACCCACTCCTCCAGTAGCGTTACAAACAATAGTAAATGCTGGTAGCATTCAAACTGGCATGAATGGCTTTATTAAAATGATAACGTAGTATGGGACTGACTTTTGTTGCCTGTGTGCTTCAGAAGGGACACAAAGAGGTGATAGTGGTGTTTCTTGGGAGTGCCAGTATTGTTGGCTTGCCCTGACTGGGTAGAAGATGCAAAAGTAGGCTTTGGTAGCTGAAAAAGTCTGAGAAAGCCTGATTTAGCCTGCAAAGAGTGAGGGAGATATGTTAGATGAGGGCAAATCCCAAAGTTCATTGGCAGGAGTTTCAGCTTGTATGTAATTTACAGGAGCAGATTTTAGTGAAGAGATTAAATTAGTGCCTCTTTCTGAGACAAGTGTGTCTGAGTGCCTCTTTCTAGCAAGAGGCAGGTGCAATTGTACGCATGTCCCTCACCTTGCTGTATTTCTGAGTTACACCAGTTAGAAGATTTACATGAATGTTGTATCAAGAGAAACTAATTGAGTGGCTGCAAGAATGGAGGGTCTTGGGTATCTAGCTCTTAAAGAACTTAAATTCAGGTTTTAAATGTCATTTCTCATATTGTCACTGAATTCTATGATTCCATGATTCTAATTTGCATCCTGCTGCAAAGGCAAAAGTTAGAGCTTCTGAACATTCACAGTCCCTGTACTGTTTGGTGACTAGCGTCCTAGACACATTTATAATTTCCATTACTTACTCTGTTTCACATTTCGACTTGCCAGTGATTCTTTAGCCGAAGACCTGAATGAAAAAGAAAGAACGTCTAACTTTACAACTGGTATAAACTGTGCACTGCAATATATGGGAGGTTTTTCTCAAAGGGGTTTCAAGTGCTCCTAAAACTTCGTGATGTTCCTGTAATAACTAAATTTGTATCCAAAAGTGTGGGGTTGTTTGTAGTTAGGAGCATTTTTGATTAAGGCTGTGCATGATAAACTTCAATCACAAAGTTGCATTTTTCATGGGAGGAGAAAACAAACATTTCTGGTTATGAGGTTTGGCTTATCCCTAATCCTAGCAACCTCACATCAGATTTTACCTGGACTGATTCATGTCCCCTCCTGGAACTTTCTGAAGAGTAGGGAGAGGCGTTAGCAGACTCTGGCTATTCATGTTCTCTGCTGTACCTTCCTTAGAATTCAGCACAGCTTTGTCAGTCAGTTCTGAATATATCAGACTGGACACAAAGTCTTTCTCTGAAATGTGAAGGTAGAAATGTTATTAAAGTTCCCACTTGCTGATCTGGATGTTTAGGGGTGAATTCAGGAGTTCCCTTACCTCATTTTCAAAGGGCATAAGGACATCAGAGAGACATGTTTTGTTTGCTTTCTGCCTCCCCCCAGCCCACAGCTCCACTGGGAGAGCACGTTTTTCCACCCTGCACCAAACCTGAGTGCGCTGAGGTCTGAGTGACTAATTTCTATGTACTGTCACCTTACGGCTTAGCACAGCCACAACTGGGCCAAGCACACTTCACTGCATCCTATTCCTTCCACCTCAGCAACCCCCTCCAGTTCAGGTCTATGAGAATTTCAGGGGTTTATGCAAATGTACAAGAGCGCATATTTTTCAGAAAGGGATGCAGATGCATGTGTTACCTTTTTTACTTGCCCTTGCGAACCATTTTTGGATCTCGGTAAGTGAATCTGTCTGCAAAATTTCGCTCAGTTTTTCCAGCACCTGGAAGATGTACAGGATGGTTACCATGAAGGAAGAGAAGCTGATTCGCAACAGTTTTTGCATGTGTTTTAGTTAAGCTCTAGCTGTGTGAGTGTGCAGTTCTACAGCTGTGCAAATTGCCTAGCCTAAGATGTCCCATCAGTTTTGCCACGGTGTGAGCTAAGGACAGCAGTCTGCAAAAGGTGATGTTGAGCGAGTGCCATGTACACAGCACTTCAGAGACACAGGAAGGAAATCCTAAGCAGTGTTTACTACATATAAAACCCCTTGCATGTGATGTAATATTTGCAGGCTGGTTTTAGAGAACAAGTTTCAGCCCGTGTGCCAGCTGCATTGCTCCCCCAGTGACTGCCCATAGCAGCTTGTGGTCAGGTGAAGGAAACTCAAGAGTAAATGCTAAATACAAAAGTCAGTAGACTCCGCATTGGGGCAGCGGGGGAAGGGAATCTGACCAATAAAGTCCCATGCCATCCTCAGGAGAAATAAAAATGTGTAACATCATAGGAAGCCATGTACTGTAGCACTCCTGTCTTACCTTTATTTTCTGATCCAGGTAGCTCGAGTCAGAATTCACATTATTCTGGATGCAAGGACTGTAATCCAAGTTGATGAGTGGAGTGGAGGGCTGGGTGAGAGACATGACGTGGTTTCCCTCTCTATTTGCAGGTTGTGCAGAGGCTTGGAATTGTTTTTTCAAAAGCTTTTCCAAAATAGAAAACAACGTGTAAAGGAATGGCTTGACTCCATTTAAGCAGCAATTAAAGGCAACGTGAAGTGTATGGCTAACACGAGTCCCCAGCAAGGCTGTGCAACAGAAAACACATCTAAAACTGTTATTTGGTTGAATATAACCACCTGTAGGTTCATTGGATAGGTTAATTGTTACAGCTTCTAATATACAGTCACTAATAGTAGATATCCGTGGCATAATGCGTAACATTGGAGGAGAATGAAAGTGATGCCAGATAACTACTGATGGAAATCGGATGAGAAAGGGATTAAATCTGGACCCCTGTGCTCTGTTTGCTTTTCCATCATGGGTTTGTAGCATGCTGCTGAGCCACTACTCTTCATTTCTCTGTGTGCAGGCTTCACCAGTCTATTAAAGGACGAGGAATTAAAATGTGATTGGCAGAAGGTTCTGTTTGTAAGTGCAGAGGAAAAGCAAAAGGCAGCTAACAGCTATTAACAAACTAGTTTACTGAGTGAGGCTATATGACGGTATCTGTCCATTATGTAGTTATTTTGCAGCCAAACCACAGTAAATGCAGTTTGAAGAACTGTGTTTTGCATGTATAAATGAACAGTAAAAATAAAGCATGGTCTTTACTATACCCAGCTCAGGAACCACATAACATTTAGAGAGACCCCCACCCCCAGTTAAAAGTAGAAAAGTTAGGAGAAAAGCGAGTCCTTCTTTTTAGCATCTTTACTGCAAAACGTCTTCGTAGTGCCCTCTGCTGTCCAGTAGCAGTGCAGAAACACTTGCATTCCCGTTTTCTCAAGAGTGTGCAATCCTCCTTGTGATACTGTTCGTAACGGAATACTGACTTAGCCCTCAGCTCTCGTACAGTCGCAATAGGGCAGACGAGTAATTAGATAGCCCGCAGCTTGAGACTAAGGAGTTATTGCAGAAAGAATCTTTTACTGGAATTTATGAACACAGCAGCAAAGTTGGACCTCAAGCCCAGTGTGCTGCTTCTACAAAACAGTGTCAGCAAAAGTAAAACTGTTGGCAGTAAGTAATCTAAAGAATCTTTGCGTTGTGAGGGGAGGAAGTTTTTTCTTGTGCTTGTTTGTTGTATAGTGCGACGTTTTTTCCTCAGCAGTTTGAAACAAAGTGAATTTTATTCCCGTCTTCATTGGGTTTGGCCATTTTTCTTGCTAGCAAAGCACAGTGACATTACAGAGCTGAAAGTGATACAGTTATAGCTTAGTTATCACCCTACTTGACACCATCTCCCTTCCAAGCTCTCGTGTTCTACACATGGGATCCTCACATCCCTCCTTTTGGTTCTGCACTGTCCTCCTTAGCAGTCTGAGACTGTCAATTCAGGTTACAGTGTTGAGAAGTGAGAGAGAGAGTGCCAAAATAAAGAGCTGTGTCTTTTTTTCCCTTACCTTTTCAGGTGAAGAAGGGTTATTTTGAATCCTTCCAGGAACATCTGCACATCCTTCTGGAAATCAACAGGCAGAGTGTTTTCTCAAGTTGAAGAATAAAGGCCATAAGATACACCTTATGTTATATTGGGGCGGGGGGCATTTTTAATCGCTAAAATGCACAAGCCATATTTTAGATACCTCTAAGGGGGTCTATTTCTTTCCTTTTTTGCGTGCTTTTACTACCTCACATAGTACATTAATGCAATTGTTTGCTGAGATGCCTAAGAAATCTGAAGAAAATCCTGGAAAGTGTATTTCATGGATACATACTTATAGTGCTGTGTAACTACTACTGCAGAGTGTTGCTTACGGATGGCATAATTGCTGATAATTGTGAAGTTCTTAGATGTCTAGCGTGCATATAATCTCTAAAAGCTATGAAGATGCAAGTGGAATTAGCAAGGAGAAATCTTGTAAAATGTGGTGACTAACACACATAGAAGGGAAGAAATATTTGCCTTTTAAATGTACGTTCGTTGCCCTATGTTCCCTTTACCTGGACCTGAGCTGTGATGACACAGTGCCCTGACTGAGACCCGGTTGCATCTTTAACAGCTCAGGTTCCTCTTCTGCTGCTGTATAATAGGGCAGTTCGGTGCCTCTACTCACGTGTCATGAACTGTGCAGTGCCTAGCTCCCTTCTGTTGCCAGCAGGTGGGAATTCTCTTGAAAAGCTGCTTCGTACAAGGCAGACTGGAGCGTTGTTTAATCCTGTGCACAAAAATGAAGGATACAGTCTTTACTACAATAAACACCCGCAGTTAACTTAGCAGGTGATCTCCAAGGAGAGTCTCGGCTGGAAGAGTGGAAAACAGGGGTATCAAACCTGAAATTTGTGTGTAATAATACAGGGCTTACGGAATGGTGTGTAGACAGTGAATAAACTTGGCATACTTGAATAGATGGCAGAGGGCCGTAAGCAGTCTGTTACAGAGGAAGGTGTGATCAATCACTACCTGAACAGTGATGACGTTGCAGATAAAATCTGGAGAGTGGCCGGGTAGGGTGAAGAATGCTCATTTCGCAATGCCAGTCAGGAGATAAGAATCATTGTTCTACCTCTCTTAAAAAGCTTGTAGTTTTCAATGAGAGTTGCAGCATTTAATGAAGAACTAGAACCCTCCTTTCTTAGCCAGGGTAAAAGGAATTTTATAAACAACCACTATTTTTATCATTATTGTAAGTCAAACTGGATTTAACATGACAAAGAAGCAGTGCTATTAAGTAGCTGATGAGGATTTTCAGAACCTTGATTCTGTTTAGTATCTGACATAAGACAAATCTTAAGCAGAAAGTAATTACAGCTAAACATTACTGAGAGTACAAATGTATCCACCAATTAATCTGGCTAAGCCGTGTAAGACTTTGGTCTTTGCTGGCTGTGGCCAGCTTGTCTTTTTTACCAGGTTCTAGAAAAAGAGAGAGATACACACACAAATACATACTTTATTTTTTATGTGTTCTATGGTTTTACGTTAGGTAGATTTTATATATACATATATATGCACACACAGGTACACAGCGTTGTGTACATTAATATGCTGGGTGGTCGGTCTGAAAGGAGGAGTCTTGCCTTGTTCCTTCAAAGGCACCCCTTCCAAGATGCAAGAAATCCAATTTTCTTCCAGACTGATTTGGTCCTGCATCACCCTTCATCCCTTATTACAGAAGTTGTATCACAGACTCATCAGCTACCAATACCAATCCGGAGGAAATACCTACTTATTCTAACAGTCCCCAAGAAACTCAGCAGAGACCTTTTTTCCCCTTCATGACTCTTCTGTTCCTTCTGCAGTATAAATTTCGCCTTGTATCAGCAATTTTCCTTCAGCCGCTGCCAGAAAGATGTCTTTGTGCAAACCTACAGGGTCAGCTTCTGAAACAAAAGCTAATCCCTAGAAGTACTATTTCGTATGCTGATGCAAATGGCACACTGACTTTGACTTCCTTTCAGGTATAGGCAGAGTAATCACAGCTAGATCTAGTACACAGCAGAGCAGCATGGTGTTTTTAGAGCACCAGGTTACTCTTATTAAATGCTGCATTGTGTAATATGTTGCTCCTGGAAAAGTACAAGAATTATTTAGGTGAGAGTGAAATAGAGAAGAAAATTGTGACAACCTGTCTCTGGCACTTATGGTACACTTGTGAGCACAGAAGGAAAGAGGAAGAAATTATTTTAGCTTGAAGGAAATTATTTTAGTTTAAAAGAAATCCCAGACAGTTGTCCTGGTAAAATAGTTGTAGTTGTACCTTGTAAAGAATTTAGTACTGCTAACCTTTACGTTACCAACCTGAGATTATTCATTGCTGAGGACAGGTAAAGATGCTTAGTGGATTAAAATTAAGGTAATGGCTTTTTTTGATTAAATGCTTCTCTTAGAAACAGGAAACAGGAGCCGTGGGTACTTTTGGAACAAAATCACATTACACTCGCATTTCTCTTTGTGCTTGCCAGGGCAGTTGTCCAGGCTATCTGTGTGGTCCCTCAACAACTCTTACCTGGCATGTGACAGACCATCCTAGGATGGGGAATGTTCCTGGAAAAGTAGTACTTTCCCCCTGAGCAGCTAGGCTGAGAGTAACTTCGGTCATACTTCCACATGTGGTTGAACTGAGGTTCATACACTGACAAGAAATCGGTATATGTTGTGTAAGCTTTCTTATTCTTTTGCGGAGCGTCTTTCTGCAGAGCAGGTTGGCTCTTCTGCTGATTGCCTGAGGCCAAACACTGGAGGTGAAGTAAAGAACATGAACTCACATAGACTGAAAGGTAGTGGAAACTTCAATTACTCTTTTTCTTGTTATTTCTACCTCTTTCATATACAATTTGGAGAAGCACAGGAGGGTGGAAGCAAGCTACCTACTGCTCCACTCCTAGGTAGTTACCTCGGGCAACCAACGCTGCTTGTGTGTGCCGCTCCTTCCTGTGCATATCTGAGACACCTTTTCGTAGTAACAGACTGTATTGAAGTAGGGGGAGTGGATTGCTTTCTGACTTGTGACAAGAACTGCAGGGACAAGTGATGACAGCAAAGGAGACATCAAGGCCTTTTTGGTTTCTATCTTTGCTAAGGGTTGTGTATGCAGAGGGGCAGTCCCATGTCTCTTAGTAGTTGATATCTGTTCTAGATTTTGGTTTTAGGGGTTGAATAATAGACTAGTAGCTTATTACCATTAACTTGTTTGGTTTTTTTCCTTTCCTGTAGTAGCAGTCATTAATGTTCACACTGTTCTTTGCCTCTGGCACTTGCTTAGAATACTCAGTACCATAACGTCTAAGATTGGGAACATCCTAAGAATGGCAGTTTATTGGAGGCACCTTGCAGATGTCACACGGAAGAGTTACATCAGGAGAGACTCGAGCTAAGTAAGGCAGCCCAGTCTGCTCCCTGTATAACAACCAGCGCAACTAAGAAAAGGTGACAGGTGATAGTAGTAGGTGACACTCTTCTGAGAGGTACAGAGGCACCCATTTGCTGAGCTGACACACTCTCTAGAGAGGCGTGCTGCTTACTGGGGGCTTGTATCAGGGATATCACCAGGAGACCACCAAGCCTTGTACAGTCCACCGACTATTATCCGCTGCTGTTGTTTCATGTGGGCACCAGTGATACAACCAGGAGCAGTCTGAGGAGTATCAAGAAGGATTACAGAGCCCTGGGAGCGGCGGTAAGGGACTCTGGAGCACAGGTCGTTTTTCATCAGTCCTCCCAGTCAAAGGGAAGGGGTTTGAAAGAGCCAGTCAAACCTGGCAAATCAACAAATGGTTATGGGACTGGTGCCACAGCCAGGGGTTCGGCTACTTAGACCATGGGACTCGCTTTGAGAAACGTGGCCTACTGGTGGCTTGATGGGGTCCATCTGTCAGAGAAGGGGAAGAGCATCTTCGGTCACAGGCTTGCCAAGCTGGTGAAGAGAGCTTTAAACTAAAGTTGCCGGGGGAAGGGAACCTCAATCCATCCCACTCCTACCAGTTTGATGCCAGTGCCAGCAGTGAATGCCCAGAGCCTAGAAAGGGATCACAGGTCAGCAGGAGAGCACCTGAAGAGCAGCACAAAGGAATTCCAGTCACTCCAGCCAGTAAGTCAGCTTCATCGGGTGCCCAGCTTAAATGCCTCTATGCAAACAAACGTAGCATGGGGAATAAACAAGAGGAGTTAGACACGTGCGCATGCCTGCAGGGCAATGATCTTATTGGCATCACGGAGACATGGTGGGATGGCTGCTATGACTGGAGTGTTGGAATGGAAGGATACAGGCTCTTTAGGAACAACACGCAGGGGACACAAGGAGGTGGTGTCACCCTCTATGTCAATGACCAGGTGGAGCGCGTGGAGCTCTGCCTGGGGATGGATGAGGAGCTGACCGAGAGCTTATGGGTCAGGATTAAAGGGAGGGCAGGGACAGGTGACATTATAGTGGGGGTCTGCTACAGGCCACCCAACCAGGAAGACAGAGCAGATGAGACCCTCAGGAGCAGCCTCACGTTCACAAGCCCCGGACCTCATGGGGGACTTCAACCACCCCAATATCTGTTGGAGAGACAACCCAGCAGGGCATAAGCAATCCAGGAGGTTGCTGGAAGGCGTTGATGATAACTTCCTTCTCCAAGTGATGGAGGAGCCAACAAGGAGAGGTGCTGTGCTGGACCTTGTTCTCCCCAACAAGGAGAGGCTGGTGGGGAATGTGAAGCTCAAGGGCAGCCTTGGCTACAGTGACCATGAAATGGTGGAGTTCAAGATCCTTAGGGCAGCAAGGAGAGCGCACGGCAAGCTCGCTACCCTGGGCTTCAGGAGAGCAGACTTTGGCCTCTTCAGGGGTCTGCTTGGTAGAGTACCATGGGATAAAGCCCTGGAGGGAAGAGGGGCCCAAGCAAGCTGGTTAGTATTCCAGGGTCACCTCCTCCAAGCTCTGGAGTGATGCCTCCCAACAAAGAGGAAGTCAAGCAAAAACACCAGGAGGCCTGCATGGATGAACAAGGAGATCCTGGACAAACTCAAACACAGAAAGGAAGCCTACAGAGGGTGGCAGCAAGGACAGGTAGCCTGGGATGAATACAGAGAAATTGTCTGAGCAGCCAGGGATCAGGTTAGGAAGGCTAAAGCCCTGATAGAATTTAACCTGGCCAGGGCCATCAATGGCAACAAGAAAAGCTTCTATAGGTACATTGGTGATAAAAGGAAGGCTAAGGAAAATGTGGGCCCTCTCTGGAAGGAAATAGGAGACCTGGTTACCCGGGACATGGAGAAAGCTGAGGTACTTGATGACTTTTTTGCCTCAGTCTTCACTGGCAAGTGCTCCAGCCACACTGCCTGGGTCACAGAAGGCAAAGGCAGGGAGTGGGAGAATGAAAAACCGTTGGGAGAAGATCAGGTTCGAGACTATCTAAGGAACCTGAAGGTGCACAAGTCCATGGGACCTGATGAGATGCATCCATGGGTCCTGAGGGAACTGGTGGCTGAAGTGGCTAAGCCACTATCCATCATATTTGAGAAGTCCTGGCAGTCTGGGGAAGTTCCCACAGGCTGGAAAAGGGGAAATAAACCCCCCATTTTTAAAAAGGGAAAAAAGGAAGACCCGGGCAACAACAGGCCAGTCAGTCTCACCTCTGTGCATGGCAAGATCATGGAGTAGATCCTTCTGGAAACTATGCTACGGCACATGGAAAATAAGGAGGTGATTGGTGACGGCCAGCATGGCTTCACTCAGGGCAAATCATGCCTAACAAATTTGGTGGTCTTCTACAACAGGGTTACAGCGTTGGCGGATAAGGGAATAGCAACCTGGATTTGTGCAAAGCATTTGACACTGTCCCACACAGCGTCCTTGTCTCTAAATTGGAGAGACATGGATTTGATGGATGGACCACTTGCTGGATAAGGAATTGGCTGGATGGTCACACTCAAAGAGTTGTGGTCAATGTCTCAATGGCCAAGTGGAGACCAGTGACGAGTGGCATTCCTCAGGGGTCGGTATTGGGATCAGCACTGTTTAACATCTTTGTCGGCAACACGGACAGTGGGATTGAGCGCACCCTCAGCAAGTTTGCCAACGACACCAACCTGTGTGGTGTGGTCGACACGCTGGAGGAAAGGGATGCTATCCAGAGGGATCTTGACAGGTTTGAGAGGTGGGCCTGTGCGAACCTCATGAAGTTCAACAAGGCCAAGTGCAAGGTCCTGCACATGGGTTGGGGTGATCTCAAGCA